GAAGAACGGTCTAGGCCGGAAACGTCAGCCTTCCTGCTCCTCTGATGCTGCTTGGCCTGCTGTGTTCATCCAGCTCTACACCTTGTTATCTAATATCTGGAATGGGTACATTGTTTTATGGGGAAAGGTTGGATAGGTTAGGCTTGTATCCGCTGGAGTTTAGAAATGTAAACTTGATTGAGACATATAAATCCTGAGGATTTTTGCTGGGGTAGATCTGGAAAGGATGTTTCATCTTGTGGGAAAATCTAGAACAAGGTATCACTGTTTAAGAATCAGGGATTGGCCATTTAAAATAGGGATAAGACAACTGTTTTTTTCTCTCAGAGATTCATGAGTTTTTGGAACTGTGTTCTGTAAAGGAGATGAAAGCAGAGTCCTTATTATAGGAAAGATGTGGAAGAATTCAAAAAGGTGCAGAGGAGATTTACCAGGATGTTGCCTGGAATGACTTTTCTGTTTAGAACGACGAAGGATGAGAGGTGACTTGATAGAGGTGTACAAAATGATCAGAGGAATAGATACAGTGGACAGCCAGAGACTTTTTCCTCGGGTGGAGGTAGCTATTACGAGGGGGCATAGTTTTAAAGTGAATGGAGGTAGATATAGGGGAGATGTCAGAGGTAGGTTCTTTACTCAGAGAGTGGTCGGGGCGTGGAATGCCTTGCCGGAGAGGGTAGTGGAGTTGGCCTCATTAGGGGCATTTAAGCAGCTATTAGATAGGCATATGGATGATAGCATAAGGTAGGGGTGGAGGTTAGATTGACCTCTGGATTAGGGTAAAATTTCAGTGCAACATCGTGGGCCGAAGGGCCTGTACTGTTCTATGTTCTATGTTCTATGTTCCTTGAGCTGATTTACCAGAAATCAGTTTAAGACCCAGTTTTGGTGCCTTTCAAAGAAGCTTTCTCTCCACAAGCCCTAGTGAGGTTCCTCATGATGTTTTCTTACATCATTCCATTCTTACTGTTCTCCCACTCACCTCAGGTGAGGTATTGACTGCTGCTAGCACCTCAAAGAATTCCTCATGACCAACACCATCTTTGATGCCCAGCTGCATACCTGGTGAAGTGTTGGAGGTCCACCATTGGCTGCCTGCCATTGTGAATTGTCCCGGACTTGTCGGACAGTGGGAAACTGGCACCTCACTTTACTAACGGGGTCCTGGAGGTGCTGGTGAGCTTGGCGGTGGCGGCAGTGTGTACGATCACTGCCCATGAAGTGTGCCCTGAGGTCTTGGTGACTGGTGTTGAAGATGGAGGAGCAAAATGGCAAGCTGGAGTTGCAAGGTAACTGCTCTAACTTTTACTTTGGGAATTGTTGCTAGCTGGTTTCAATCCAATGGGTGGGAAAATGGGAAGCAATGAAGCAAGGTGACATAATATTAATGATGTTAATGCTTGAAAGTGAGCCTCTCAAGATGTTGAAAGGTTGTCAGTGATAAGTGTATATGTGGATTTGAGGTAACAATCAGATTAGACATGATTTTATTGAATGGCGCAGGGGACTCAAGGGGCTGAATGACGTTTCCTAAATCAAATGTTAATCTACATCTTACCTGGTCTCGCTGGCACATGACTTCAGACCACAGCAATGACTCTTAACCTCCCTCTGAAACAGTTTATAAGCACACAATTCTAGGTCAATTCAGGATGGGCAATAAATGCTGGTCTTCTCTGTAATGCTCACATCCAATGAATTAATAAAAAGTCTTTTAAGCATATTGCAAGAATTCTTAAAATGCCAATAGTCTTCCTCGAATCAATGGTTACCAGATGCAATGTTAAACTAGGGCCCTACCTGCTGTGTCAGATTGATCTATTATGATGTGAAGCTTCCATTGTTGAAGTTGTCCGTATCATAGTTAATAGTTAACCCCCACATAAATGCATTGTGGGAAATTGCTATACACAAATGGTCAAATTTTCCTACATTACAAAGTGGCTACGCTGGGAAAGTACTTTATCGGCCCTGGGAAGTTTTGTGGCTTCCGTGAAAGACACTATGAGTGCAAGAATTGTTTTTTTGATCAGAATAATATATATACTTAATAAAATATACTCAACAATGTAAGCATACATTCATGGACCCCACATTCACAACAGGGAGCTATATTCAAAGGGAGGATATTGTATACTGGATATTTCAGGCTTCTTTTGAATGCCCTCTCCATAAGGAATAGGAAATAAGATCAATGCAGTTAGCCTGACAACTTTTACCAATTTGGTGAAAAATGGTAAAGTAGCTCTGACAAGACCAAACCCTATTAAAAATGTTAAACATTCCTCCAGTTTATGACACACGATCATAAAACATAGGAGCAAAATTAGGCGATTCAGCCCATGAAGACTGCTGTGCCCTTCAATGAGATCATGGCAAATGTGATAATCTTCAACTCCACTTTCCTGCCTTTTTCCCATAACCCCTGAACTGATAACCCTCAGGAAGTGCACGATTAAAAGTCTGCCTATTTCAGCTTTGAATATTCTTAACAATTTTCTTGAGGAAGGTGATGTGATTGCCTGGATCATGATCATCAATGCACTTTGGGTCATTTCTCACTGACCTCTGATGGAACAACCATAAAGTGGGCTGTAAAAATACACTCAGGAGAAGGTCAATGCATCGGCATGGAGAAGACAGGTGAGTGGGGTTTAAAAACATATTAGCCATGATCGAATGCTGGAGCAGACTCAATGGGCTGAATGGCCTAATTCTGCACATTTATCTTATGGCTTTATGAGCAGTGGCAGACATTTAAGCAGATATGTCACTGCACTCAGCAAAACTTTATTTTGGTCAGAAAGAAAGACTTGGTGAGAAGATGAACCACCAATGATTCACAATGGCTGTCAAACAATGTATCTAGTTACAAACACAGGCAAACAGGACTAGTTTAGTTTAGGAAACCTGGTCAGCAAGGACAGGTTGGGCCTAAGGGCCTGTTTCTGTGCTATATGACTTTATGATTCTGTGACCCAACCTCTATAGCCCTCTGTAGTTAAGAATTCCACATATTTGCTACCCTCTGAGAGATGCAATTCCTCCTCATCTCTGACTTAACTGGGTGATTCCTTCCTTTAAGGTTATGCCCTCTGATCCTAGACTCTTCCAGAAGGGAAAATAACTGCTCCACATCTACCCTGTCAAATCTTCTGAGAGTCTTGCATGTTTCAATAGGGTCACCTCTCATTCTTCTAAACCCCAATGAGTTCAAGCCAAACTTCCAAAGCCTCCACATCTAGACTCAACCTTCTCTGGAATGTCTCCAATGCCAGTATATCTTTTGTTAAATAAAGGGATCAAAACTGTTCACAATTTTCTAGATACAGTCAGACTAGTGCCTAGTATAGTTTAAGAAAGACCTCCCTACTTTTATACGCCATTCCCTTTGAAATCACAGCCAACATTCCATTTCCCTTCTCTATTACCTGTTGAATGTGTATCCCAGTTTTTATGTACGGGGATTCCCAAATCTCTCTTTGCTGTAGCTTTCTGAACTTTGCAGGAAAGAAAGACAGCCATGATTAGACG